TTGGTGAATTAAATAAATATTTTTTCCATCTAGTCACCAAAAAACCACACATTAAAGTTCTCAATAGAAAATAAAAATATACCTAAGAAACCACAAACAATGGCCATAAATGGTTTACCTCATCCTCAACAGCAAAATGTCTATATATATTGTTTATAGTTAAATCAGTTACAGCAGTTGACAGCATTAGGCCATTGAATAACAAAAAAAGAAATCTATTTTAATAATTTCTTGAATATGGTCTATATTTAAGAAATTGTTGAAAATAAATAATATTTTAGACAAAACTTTTGTAACTAACCGAACTAAAAAGTAGAAAATGATTTTCTATTAGTTATTAAAAAATGGAGATTAAGAAAACATATCAACACACAAATTACAAAATTGGCATGACTTAAATGTCTGAAACTAAATATTACTAACTTTGTAATAGACATTTTTGATTTCGTTAGTACTTTTTAAATGTTAAAAGAGTTTTAAATAAATGCGTCAACCCCAAGTTAGTCTCGGGGTTTATTGAACGATCTAATAAACAAACACAGATGGATATTGTAAAGTACTTTTTAAGTATTCATGACGTCAAGAAATCTAAATATTAGTATCCAATATAAGCAATAGCATCAATGATATTTACTTTGCTCGAAAATTTTCCTCTCGTGTCCTTATTGCTATTTATAAGTACTCGTAAGTACATATTGGCAGTTTTTGATGACGCTGTCGAATACAGTAGAAAATCTAAAATCGTACACTGAGTTACGATAGGACGGAATTTCCCGACAGTCGAACGACACAAATATTTGATTTGAACCGGGGCGCGGCAGCGCTCGCACCTCAATACTGGGATTTTAAAAATTACTGGAAACGCTCTGCAAGTTGCACGTGTATGTAGGTAGACTTATTTACATCTATGCATAAATAATCTAAGACCACTTTGGAAAAATGTGGAGATCGCTTTGAGAAATAAAATAAAAAAACCGCAATGATAATTTTGATTCATAAGGGCTACTACCTTCTTTACTAAAGAAAGTTGTTAATGATTTATTTTTCTTCGGTTTTTTTGCAACATTACTATTGTAATCATTACAATAAAATAGGGGTGTTTATTACTCGTACGTAAGCCTCTGCTTACCTCTTCGAGGATGAAGGAATTACTTTTTATATTATTATGTGTATAGGTATATGTATTGAACGGTTTGAATATCGTAATACTTTATTTGTACCTCCATTTAGAACCATGTTCTGTATCTGGGTCATTCTGGGTGTAATTTATCTTTCATACAAATAAATAAAATTGAAGTGTCTGTTTGTGATGACAAAACAATAGGTTATTTTTCATGTTCGCACGATTATTTGCACGATACCTATATGCCTAAAACCATTTTAAATATTTTATGTCTGTCTGTCTGTTCCTACTAAATATTTTACTACCAGGTAGCGGTCTATACGAGGAGTAGGCTATTTTTCCTCTCAAAAAAACCCTAAAAAATTTTGCCCGTCCGGGAATCAAACCCGAGGCCTCATGGACTGCATTGGCGTACCGTACTTCACCACTAAAGCAGCGCTTTTCAAATAGCACGCGAACGAAGTCGCGGGTACTAGTCCGATAATATGTGTGTATAATATGTGTGTACATATATAGAAATACATATGTAAGCATGTTTAGTTACAACTAATAAAGGCTCTGCCTAGTATGGGTCCTGATGCTGTGTAAAGTTATTCTTATTATTTTGTCGCAAAAAGGTTTATAACTTATCGATATTGGTAACCATGAACTCCTTAAACCATAAATGTGATTTAGTAGCTTTGAAAGTCCCAACATCATGGCTGCTATTCTCCTTTTAGGGTTCGTTCAAGGTCCAAGTTGAAGTTCATTTACTCAGCAAAAGTAGTGGGTGGCAATATAATTAGGGAGTACATATTGTAGTATTACACATTTTATTATATTAGTAGTATTATATAGTTATTTGACTATTGTTTTCCCTGAAAACCTGTACTGTATGCTTTGTATACAGAACGTATTCTAATGAACAATGCATAGTTTGTACTGTACGTTCTAGACTATAAATATGTATATATATTCTTAGATACTAGATCGACATGGACAGAACTATTGACTAATGGAAATAGAGATATTTATGGATGCAAACATTTATATTAGTTTGTAACCCTGATCTTTGACGTTGTAGTCAAATACTCTAACAACGTGCTACACACAAAAAACTAACCGTTTATTTATCTACATGTACCTACATTGGCAAAACAAATTGCATCAGACTTTTATTTTGTATTTTAATTAGGGGAAAACCAATAGGGTCTAGATTTTTTATCGAAGTTGGACTGAAATTTATTTACATTCTTATTTGATACATGTTCTGCCGGTTGCGACTGAATTCGGACAAATGCGAGATGCGCCGGTGATTTTCGTAAACAAATACTCATCTCACTCACACTCTCATTACAGAAACACGCTAAAGGTCAGGCTGTTTAAATTTTCTGTACAAAGGCGAAAATAATTAAAGAATCGATTTTTAACTATAGGTGTCAAATCACGTCGTCTTGACTAATGTTTTAATAGTAGTGAGTGTATAATAAAATGTGTTCTGGGCATCTTATTACGATGTAGAAACGTAACTTTATGGTATCGTAACTTCACAGACAAAGAAAAAGTCGTATGTGTAATCAATTTAGTCGATACTTAGAAACAAGACTACGTACAAGGTTCATATGAAAGTTTGGGCCTAGTATACCAGGCTGGCCAGACGACTTGGTATAGGGTTTGTTTCAAGTTTTCCTTATCTTTGAAGTGCTGTTGTCCTGCGTAGTTTGCTCCCTTAGTCGGCTCATATGGAACCAACGGGATGAATAGAGGTGGTGACACTCCGTATTCTAAATCCGTCACCACACGGATGGTTAATCCTTCGCCTCACGGACGCAACGACCTCGCAATACATATTGAAAACCAACCACATCGCCATTATCACAGGCAATAGTCAATGAACAATTCGAGAATGTCGTATATTTCAGGATACAATATCTCTGTTCATCAAAATTTTATCAATATTTGCGGCAATAGTTTTTGGTTAAAATACAAATTTACTCCTTTAGAAAAATATCAGTTTAAGTTGTCTGAAGTTCGCCAGACTTCCGCTTCCATGTTTTTAATTTTCCTTTACCGCCTTTTGTCACAAACAACTTTGACAGTAAAATTAGACTTTACGTAAATCGTATGATCAGATTCAAGGTAGCATATAGACTAAGCGTTTACCTTTTATGAATTTTTATTTACCTAGAGGAAATTCAAAACTATTTTGTTATGGTAGTTAAATTAAATATTTATAAAAAGGAAAAAGTAAATAAATAAACTACTGTGTTTCTACTGTTATTACTAGTCGATGTGTAATACAAGGTCATCGACTGCGAAACCCTATGTTACGTCACGATACGCGCCCCCAGGTCGGCGACGCGACGCCTCGCTCCGACACAGTCTGATGAAACGTTTTGACTATGGCTTCACTGACATTTTCTACTGAAATCATGTCACATATAGTGTAATGTTCGAGAAAAGTTACTCAGTTGTTCACATTTATTGAAATAGCATCAATAGAAATTCGTTGACCTCGCTAATACCATTTAAAGTTAGTTATAATTTTCTGGTTGCGTTTAATAAAGAAGATCGAAGAACTTCTTCTTATATGTATATATAAAAATCGGGAACACCCAAATACTCCGAAATATTTTAGTCTGCATTTAGATGTTCCGATTTTCAAAAGTCCGAATTTCATGATACCGAAGAATTATAACGTATATTATTAAAATTCACTAAAAATCCAATTTTTATAAGATCGAAGACTCAAATGCTCGGTTCTCGGTCCGAAAAACGAAATTCTGATTTTCAATTATTCAAATAAACCGCTAAAATTAAGATTCTGATTCAGTTAGTCAGTTAGTAAAATATTCACTTAGGCATAAACATTCAGGATGTAATGTTTAATGTAATTTAAAAACGTCTACTTTGTTGTTAATATTTGTGTATTAATATGTTTTGTGTGTTTTCTTCTTCTCCTGCGTATACCTGCGTCGGGTACCACCTACTGTTATTGAATTTTAGGCTAGGTTAGAACTGTGACTTTTAAAGCGTGAAGGCGAGTGAGCGTAGCGAGCGGGCCGCGGTAGCGGCCGCCGAACGCCAGATCCCCTACATTGTTGGTGAATAATTTTGGTAAAGTTAACTTAGAACTGTGACCAGTGTGAAGAGAACATTTTTATTCGAAAGAAAATAGAAAGAATTTGAATTTTTGATGTTTCGAATTATCATTAAGCAGGATTTTTTGTTATTCGATCTATTCAACACTCGGTATTTTGAGCATAGTAATCATAAAGGTTAGGAATATTGAAATTTTTGAATTATAAAAATAGGATGAATGATTGTTATATTGGGAATTTAGAACCCTTCGGAATCATGAAAATCGGTATTTTGAAATTCGTATTTGTGACTGACGGAATAAAGTTTTTCGTATTTGTGTAGTGTCCCCCATAAAAATTAAACATTGTTTGTTCGTTTTCTATGCACTGTCGTACTGTTATCCGATCGTTTATAATTTAACAGAGGTAGAGTAAATGCAATGTTTATGGGTTGTATCAGAAAAATATACTTGCGAGGGATGAAGAAATACTTTATTAATAATGACAAGATTTAAAAACTGAAATAAAGGTTTAATATAAATGATAGTGAGATATTTACATAATATCTTGCTGTAAATTTCTATCGATCCATCCATCAAAGAGACTTGTTGAAAATAAACGACACTGAAACAATTCTTAAATTTTATTTAGATTCTCACGTATAATAAACAAATGTATACAACACACGTAGTTCCACATTTTAAATAAAGTAAATACACGAAAATGAATACCTATAGTACTTGCAACTACCTTGCAGTTTCGTTCTTCAAAATACTCGTACTTCTAAAAGAAGAACTTTAGGATACACGATTAAAAAACTACATTTTACAGCCAGTCACGGATCTCCTTCCTTCAATAACATTACTTTTATTATTCCTTGTCTCTTTATCGTTAGACCCACTAATAGTTTCATGAGATTTTTCCTCTATTATTTCTACTAAATGTGAAGAACGAATGTTACTCAATCGTGCACATCGTGGGAATTTAAAATTTGAAATTGGTTTAGTTTCAGATTCTTCAATTGTTGTTTCATTTACGTCTGAATCCGAGCGCATATACTTCCGAAACATATTCTTCAATCGAGCAAAGTAGCCATCTCTACTAGATTTCGGAAACGGTAAAACTTGTTGCATCGACAATGATGAACCTTCAGCGATTGGGGGCTTGTAGTGTTGTTTTATAGAATCAGTCAGTTGAATATAACTATTTGCACTGGTGGTGGGTCGACTCAAGTTGCAACAACTTTGTGTAGCCTCTCTATGTTTTGGTTTGTGACTTTTTTCCTCAAGTCTTTTTAAAAGAAAATGTACACTTGCCGTGTAGAACAATTGTTCATCATCGGGCTTCGTAAGTGCTACATCCAGAGAATTGGAAGCCTCACTGTCTGGATTTGAAGACCTTAATATGCTTCGCCGTTGCATGCCTTGTCAGTGTGGTTAGAAGTTTGTACTTTTGAACACATTGTCATTGATACATCAGAAAAATCTTACACAATATTACTCTCGAAATTAATACAGAAAGAAACAAGAATAATTTTCCTAATCGATTAATTTTACAACGAAAATATTGACTTAACCATTTGACACTGTCACAGTTTGTAACAAAAAGTATTTAATATTAAATGGCTATCTATGGTATTAAAACAGGTTAGTTCGAAACACAAAGTTTAGGCATGAGCAGGATTTGTGTTGCACACATCTTATTTCATTGAAAAAAGGTAATGTAAGGTCAATCTTCTACTCTCTTTATAGTACAGATTATTCATTTGAGTTTTCATGCACTCGGTAAATCTAAAATTTTGCCACAAGGCTACAGTTAATATCTAGAACAGAAATGGTAAATATCGCAGAGGCTCAAATTAAATGTATTTGGAATATGAATGTTTATTACCATTATGCAGAAACGAGGAGTAAACGAGGAGACGGGTCACCTTATGGAAGGTGACCACAGCCGGCAGTGTCTCTCTAAATTTCATTAATATTAATTTCATAATCGGTTTAACGGATAGGCGTTAAATCGTAACAAAAAGACAGACAGAGCTACTTTCGCATTTATTACTTTAGGAGGGATATTATAATGTAGGGATATATTTTTCCGTTAGCAACTACATTGTATTATTTAAAAGATATTGGCCTTGAATTCATAAAACCCTTTATATTCCTAATGCCAAATTTTGTTACGTAATATAGACCTCGGTATAAATATAAAATCGGCATTTTCACTCGGTTTAAAGTTTTAACAACATGTTACTATGGTCATGTTCATAATTGGAATACCTATACATAATTAAAATACAAAGTCACATCGTTATTGTACGCATGTAAATTATAAAAAAAATTATAAAATTAGGTAAAAGAAACTCTTGAGTTTAAGGTAACATGATTCGTTTTAATAAGTTTGACACCGAAGCTCGCACTAGTGGATAGTAGTAAAAGCTTCACGTTTTGTGTTTTTTGAGGTGAATAATAGTTAACATATATATATTACTATTAGGAATCAGACGTGAAATGTAAGGAAACGAAAAAGTTGAACAGCACTTTAGCGAGCTAAAAAAGTAGGGTCCAAGTAATTGAATTTAGTTAAAATATTGAACGATGTTTGACGTCACTCTTATTTTCAGCTGTCGTCTACATGGCCTACATTACACTTGACAATATTTGGTGCGAATACATGACATAATCATGACATTTATTCACATTGTGTGAATGTGCTAGAATACTAGTATTATTATTATTTAACACAGGTCTCCGATTCCGACAGAATGGTGTGGTTACATGGTCCTACATTGGGTATGTGAAGAACCCGCATACTTTTTTTAATCTGTTGGCGCGGTATCGAAACGGTCAAGTCACATACAGTGACTAAGCTGTGGAGTTTGGGAAGTCAGGGCCCATAGAGTTGGGTCGTGTAAAGTCAGAAACTTGGCTCGACATGAGTTCTGATAATTTTTTGACAATGTGAGCCACATTTTACATGAAAATGTATTTGGTGGAATTATCTTTACAGCAGTCAAAGGATTCATAATTGTTTGTAGTTGCCGCTTTAAGCCAAAATCAGGCGGCGTGCTTTTCCCTGATCCGTCATTTTTTATAGCAGATCTTAGCGTTAAAAGGTAGATGCGAGAGATAGAAACTCGCAAATCCTATCCTACTTCTGATATTATGTCTAAAAAACTTTAAACTGTATTTTCGAGGATATAGTGTAAGAATATATGTATACAGTTGATCAGATTGATCCCCTCTGTTCCGCATCCCCATGTGATGGAAAAGAGGGCCAATAAAGGATAATGGTCACTAGCTTTTTTCTAGCTACAGGCTGTGCGGTGCAAAATAACTTCATACCTAAAAAAAATTGGCTGGTTTGCAACTTGATAATTCGCGTAAAAGTATTAGTTTAAAAAATACCTTTGACAAATTAGTTCGTGGCATTTTTTTTATTGCAAAAACAAATAATGAGAAGTTGTAGAGTAAGAAAAAAATGAAGAAAATGAGAGTTCCTCAAATCTAACTCATTAGAAACTTTATAAGAAAACACACTTTTCTCGGATCTCGGAAAAATCGCGATTTTTTGTCCTTCATTTTCTCAGCTTGTGTGACTCGTAAGAAATCCGTTCGGAACTTCAATTATAGCTTTTAATACCGTTTTTTTATAAACAAATTATCCCAACATAATATTAAGTTGCCGTATAATTTGCGAAAACGTAAAAATAGGGGCTTCGGAAAAACCGTGCGCGATTGGTAAGAAAGCATCGTATGACAATTTAAAGAATGTCATTTTTTTTCGTTAGGAGTTGCCCTACATTCTCTGCATAATTATGAATCTTCCAGATGTATCACAGAGCCGTTAAACCGTCAATACTGTATCTTACTTCTTGATTTTAAACGATAAACAACGATTTAACCACGAAAAAATCAATTTAACAGTTGTTTTCACAAAATCTTTTTAGATTTTTATTACTTTTTAGACTATTATTGTTTTTTATTATTGTTGTGATTTCCACATACTCTCGTAGATTAGCATAAATACAACTTCCACTCATCAACCTTTGGGCCGCGGCCCGCCAGGCATGAGGCGAGGTGCGCCTGGTCGGAGGATCCTCTCTTTGTGTTGGATCCATGGACCCATTACTATCAGGTCACTGTTATCACTTACGTCATAGAGCCTTATGACGTCTTTACATTGTACTGAAATAAAATATTCAGAAACACAAGAAGGGATTGATGTCATATTCTCGTAAATCAATTCCGTATCACCGTTCCTTGGTATGATATATTTGTAATATTGAATTCAACCGTTCCTCTTTTAGAACGTAGCTGTAACATGAGTTGTGACAATTTTAATACCTACGTTTATTAGATTTCTCTATAAATCAGAGACTATATTGGACGTTTTCCTAATAAGCAAATTAATATATAAGGTCGTGTTTCTAGCATACTATAAAGAAGTGACTGATTATGATCGATTTTGCTTGTTATTTATTGAATCAATTTGTTTACACGTGGCATGTTTTTTAATTTGATTTTTTTTCACTTTGTTAGTAAAGACTTTGTGTTCCACAGTAAGTTATTTATATTGATTTTCTAAATTACTGCAGGGGCGAAATTCGAAAGACTTTAACTACCTTCTCTTTATCTATGCGTTAACGTAAAAACGTAAGTAAGAATGTATTTACATCTTTTAGAAAAAAAGGGTAGAAAATAGTCAAATAGCTTGTCAACACATGAAGAAGGGATGTTTAGTTAATACACGTTGTCTATAAAAGCAGAATTCAACATTTCCGTATGCTTTGTGAAATTGATTTGATAAAATGCATTTAAGAAAAACTAAAAGTATTTAAGTAACTAAAATTGTGATTTTTTTCTCTACAACTAAGAGACAAATTTTGGGGAAATGTCTGATAAGTTGCACTAGATATGAAGAATTTTTTTAAAGAGAAATTAATCTTTGAGAACATGAACAGTGGGACAGATATACATACATACATACTGAAATACACATACATATATACTTGCTGAGTTGCATACACACATATTTACAAATAATAATTTATATAAAACTTTAAGGATCTGATGAATCTGCTAGGGTGTGTAAAATATCTAAAATGATTCCATGATCTACCCAGATTTCCAGATGGCGTTCCAGAGAAGGACAGATTGGATTAGGAACGAAAAGTTGACACACGCGGAAGTATATGTGGGGCCTAGCAAAAGTGGATTCTTTGAGTAACGGAGGGTTCCATTGTGATTGGAACATAGAAATTGGAATTGGAATATCAGGTAGGAAGGAGAAATAGCTGAGTTGAGAATGGAATAGAAGGGGGTGCGGGCGCGCTTTTAAGACCTTATGTGTTAAAAATGTTATTAATATTACAATTTTCTGCCCGCTTCTTGTATTTATTACCGGTTTGAGAAACTTGAGAGTTCTTCCAGTTTGCGAAAACTACATTGGCTGATTGTTGTCAGAGTTGTTTTCCACTGCGATGCCTTATCCTAGTGGGAGTCATCTCGTTAATTTCTTGATAAAGGACCATTGTGTCTGTTGGGCCCGAAATAGTCGAGATTTTCAAAAATACGCTTACATCGTAATATTAAGTCGTATATGAAGGCGTCTATATCTTAAATACTAATATCTATCATTACTTTAAAATTTATTTATAGGCAGCTACAAAATTGTTTATAAGTATAAAATAATTTGTTGTTCGAAATTAGAGACGTTTTTTTTACTAAGATCAAATCTAGTAGTCTATCACTTAGTTTTACAAAAATACTATTTTGTTTTCATATACACATGCATGTGAATGCTTTATAAATAAAGGCTGTCTCAGTAAGAGTGCGCTTTTTCATTTTAAAATAAAAACACGTATTTTATGAAAAAGTTGTGATATTTTTATTGGATTTTTAAGAAGACATGTTCCGATTAAGTATGGAATAAAAAATCCGGCAAATAGCCCCCATGGCTCTGATGATAGGCCATTACTCTTTTCATGAAATTTTCCATGGCTTTTACACAGAGATGTGGCTGTATCTCACCGATAACACGTTGGATCTTGACTCTGATTTGAGCTCAGGAATTGTTTCTGGTTTATTCGCATGAACCCGAGATTTCACAGGACCCCAAAGAAAAAACAATAATATTAATATTTAACAAAATAAATAAGTCTAGAATTTTTATAGATGCCTTGAAGAACACAAAACGACCATCAATCATCCACTTCTGGAATTATGAATAATAATCTACAGACTGTGGGTCAAGAACCTCCTGAGAATGAATGAATCTGTAATCAAGATGATTCCGGAATATATGTAAGGGCGCAGTAACTCTGCATTAAGCTTGATTGGAAGATAAAACGGCACGACACCTTAGTGTGTCAAGTGGAATTCGGGTGCGTTGACTTCTATTGGGAGACTTTCCATACCTAGGT